AATTAATGTTAATATTTATATTTTTAATAATTTAATGACAGAAACGGACTGCAATGTGTTTTAAAGGCATGCTACAGTTTGACACTTTACCGTCATATAGTTCACATGTATTATTTTATTTGAACGTTCTGCCATTATAAACAGTATGCCGAAACTGAAGTGGAGAAATCAACAACAAAAGACTAAGACATAAATCTTGATAGAGCAAGAAGAACGCGATACAAATGATTTATTTCATCAAGTTTATTAGATTATAGAGTACACGTCACCACCAGTTCATTTATGATCTCTTTAATGGTAATAATACAATGAAAAACACATCAATGGAAGGCAACATTAATATATAACATGACAGATCACATGACACAAAGATTTGTATTGAAAAATGTATACTTATTTGAAATCTCAATCGATAATTAGACAGACTGACATTTCTTTAGACTGAGATATAATTGAATAATTGCAGCATCATTTGCGAGCCGTGCATAGCCTTATGACGAAATATATGACCAGACAATTTCAGGTCTCATTAAAAATATTAGTTGTAACTTCTCAAATTTAATGCCTTCCCTTTATACTATATAAAAACATCTTTTCCACATTTATCCTATTTAACGCCGAAAAAAAACATCGTTTGAACCAATATCTCGCTGCAAATTCAGGTTTATAACCTCATGCCAGTGTTAAGGCATCAGGTTTAATAATGTGTAAAATAACTAAACAGTTTTCACGGAAATGTCAACTACTGTCGATTTATTACGCAGAAAATGCCACTGAAAGCAGAGTTTTTTAAACTAAAAGTTGTAAATAATTAAATACTTCATGTGGTACCTCGAGCTATGACGGTAGGTGTAAACTTGACAAGTTGGCTAGTATTAAAACATCTTGCCAAACGTTAATTTGATTTCAACCGTTGAGACTTTTATTCACTTTTAAAAATGATATATTTAAATGTACTTACTTTTTGATGTACCTATGAATATATAGTATTTTATCACTTACCCGGATAGTAGCAACTCTACCCATGCACACCATTTCCGTCTGATCTTCGTCTGTACTGTTCGCTTGTCAGACGGTTCATATCCTTATAGATGAATGGAGTTGTCCCTTTGAACGATAGACCAGTACATTTAGGAGATTGAAATTGGTGAAGCTTGAGGTTTAACTGTACCAATCACAATGTATCTAATGATTTCGTTTAATTTGTATGCTCCCACAAAGTGGGAGCATATAGCGTTGCACTTGTCCGTCCGTCTGTCCGTCCGTCCGTCCGTACGTCCCGAAATCTTGTGAACGCAACTCCTCTTAAACCGGATGGCAGATTTTGCTGAAACTTACAGGGATGAACAACCTTAATGTGTAGATGGGAGAAAAAGACGGAATTTTTGCTGCGACCAAATTTAACAGAATTATGGCCCTTTGTTTATTTTTTCACTATATACCATAAAGAAATTTTGTGAACGCAACTCCTCTTAAACCGGATGGCAGATTGTGCTGAAACTTACAGGGATGAACAACCTTAATGTGTAGATGGTAGTAAAAGAAGGAATTTTTGCTGCGACCAAATTTAACAGAATTATGGCCCTTTGTTAATTTTTTCACTATATACCGTAAAGAAATTTTGTGAACGCAACTCCTCTTAAACCGGATGGCAGATTGTGCTGAAACTTTCAGGGAAGAACAACCTTAATGTGTAGATGGGAGAAAAGGAAGGAATTTTTGCTGCGATCAAATTTGACAGAATTATGGCCCTTTGTTTATTTTTTCACTATATACCATAAAGAAATTTTGTGAACGCAACTCCTCTTAAACCGGATGGCAGATTGTGCTGAAACTTACAGGGATGAACAACCTTAATGTGTAGATGGTAGTAAAGGAAGGAATTTTTGCTGCGATTAAATTTAACAGAATTATGGCCCTTTGTTAATTTTTTCACTATATACCGTAAAGAAATTTTGTGAACGCAACTCCTCTTAAACCGGATGACAGATTTTGCTGAAACTTATAGGGAAGAACAACCTTAATGTGTAGATGGGAGAAAAGGAAGGAATTTTTGCTGCGATCAAATTTGACAGAATTATGGCCCTTTGTTAATTTTTTCACTATATACCATAAAGAAATTTTGTGAACGCAACTCCTCTTAAACCGGATGACAGATTTTGCTTAAACTTCTAGGGATGAACAACCTTAATGTGTAGATGGTAGTACAGGAAGGAATTTTTGCTGTGACCAAATTTTACAGAATTATGGCACTTTGTTGATGTTTAGTTTTCAACTTGTGGCACATGTAGTCTAAAAAAAAATTGACCTAGAGTCATAAAATTGACAGAACAGTGGCGTGTGGGGCATCCGTGTCCTATGGACACATTTCTAGTTCTTTCATATTGTTAATAAGAAGTCGTGTTTGCATCATTTCAAGTATAATGTTTCCCTTATTGTGGCTATTTGGATAAATCGTTAACGTATATTTATTTGGAAAGTGTTAATTATTACCAGGAGAACATTAGAAGAAGCTAGTAATAATAACCAGCCTTATGGTTTAATATAGAGGAAGCCAGACAAGATGGCTAGAAATTTGACCTAAGACGTTTTAATGATACACTACCCAGCATCATCTATTATATTGAAGTTCTTTATTATAACTTTCCTGTATATAATTACTTAGTATACTATGTTATCATTTAAAGATATAAGCGACTGAAATATTTCTCTATTACATGAACTTTTTCTATTTCAGTATGTATTTTGTTTGAGCAGGAAGAAATGTTCCATACATTCATTTTCTTCATCAGTTTGAAAAAATTCCTTTGACATCAGTCAAAATCATATTGTTCCAATTTCATTACATGTTTAGAGGCAGAATTAGTGTTATAAAAGTAAATGATACTGAGAATACAGATCTATTTCGGATTAAATAGCAGTTTGTCGGTTGACTGAAATGTAAAAAATATTCATTAGCACCTTCGAAATTTCAATTAACTATAAATACTTTACATCATACAGCAACTACACAGCATCAACCCGACGCCGAAAATTCATAAAAAAAAGTCGGAGAAACACGATACATCACTTGAAAAAATTTATACTATAGAGAATGTAATGTACAAGGCATGCAGTTTTGCGACAGCTGCTTTTAAGGCTGCTGTGAAATTGAAATTTATTTCGATTATCATGTCAGTAAATAAATCTGAATTAAAATACTCATTGTGTTTTCTTATATTACTAATTGCTTTAATTTCTATTCATGGTCGTACGTTCTTTGAAAGGTCCAGTTGACATTTGTACTTTTTTCATAACCTCGTTTGCAGCTTATAAGTTGCCTGTTTTGCTTTGATGTTCCAAACACTGAATATATTTTTTATGGGCATATTTTAATTTTCAAAGCCAGTAATGTTACTAAATGGAATAAATCATAGAATGATATTATTAAATTACAAACAAAAACATGCTTATCAAATTCAAGATCAAGCCTATTTTATATCACTTAAGAGAATCCAAAGAACTACTCATGCACAAAAGGGCTTTAATATTACCTAAATTATATTGTTATTTGTTGAGAAAAATTAAACCATTTTCGGTTTTAAAAGTAACTTTATGATAAAATAATTTTTAAAGTACTTGTCTGTTGATATTCTTTGATTGTTATGGCAAAGATTCATCGCAAATTACTTAAGGTCTTTACTAGATATTGTTTTTTCTGGCAGTTAACATGCAGTACTTTGTCACTTTTGAGAATGGAATATGAAAGGACGAATCATCATGAAAAGGGAAAGAACTCAAACTATTTTTTTGAAAGGACGTATCATCGTGAAAAGGGAAAGAACTCAGACTATTCTGAGGGATTGAATTGTAGATAAAAGGCGATCTTATTTACGAAAGCATACATTTCATTCTCTAGGTCTGTTAACAGAAATACTCAAGCAGATATCATGTTTTCATTCAATGGGATATAATCGGACGTTAATACTATCAAAGATGATATTTATTACAGTTTGTCGCGTTGGCCGACCTTGAAGGTTTCTATTCTCGACTATTTCATAGATAAGATCTTACCGATGCAGACAAATTTGTTTAAAGAACCGATTGTGTGTAGGTTACTATTGATTAGAAACGGGAGTCTTCTTAACTTTATAAACACGAACATCTAATAATAACATACCTAAGAATATTAGATCACTTTAACTTGGGTCATCCTAATCGATGACATAACAAATATGCTATCATAAGATAAAGGCATTTCAAATATTTAATATATTAAGCATGAGCAGATCAAATAAACAACCCACAAAAGTTACCAGTTTTTATAAAAAAGTGATTTAGATAACTATTTTCACACTCACCCAGTTTACCTATAAAACAATTCTCTATTCAGTCTATACTCTAAAATATTGTTATGTATCTATGTGTACCAGGTAAATGATCTCGGAACGTTTAATTATTACTGGCAAGAAGAAGATTAACCCACACTTTTTCTCAAATTGAATTGGACAAGCTTAGGTCTTGGTGCAAAAGATAACATGATGTTTGTCTTAGAAAACGAACAAGTTTTGTTAATACATTTGTAGGGACCATTCATTTGTTTGAAAGGTGTCAACTGTCAAACTATTTATTGTATTGTTTTGGTACTTGCAAAGTTTTGTTGAACGACGGCTCTACTATGTCAAAATAACACATTTACTCATAAACAGGTGAAGATGCAATAAAATATCAAAAACTTTAACATTGTTTTAGTTATATACATTAGACAATGACAAAAATGTTACAATAGTGTATGTAATTATCTAACTAAAGGTTTCAAACTATGAAAACAATTCATTTTACATTTTAGTCCTATATACTATATAAACTATACATACATACATTTATTTAACAGCAGACCTTACGTCATCATTTGTTGACGACAATACCAGTAGTCTGAGATGTTGTCCAACTAAAATGAGATGCCCATCTAAAACGAATATTAACTAGAACGGTTCTAAATGTATAACATTGCATTTCAGGTTCTATCTTTGACAAAGATGAGCAAGAGGCGAAGACCGGATTTTTGTTTGCAGTTAAGAATTTTAATCAACGTCAAGAAGAGAAGTTCAGATTATCAACGTTCATAGAAGTAATTCATGTGAAGGACAGTTTTGAACTTGCTGCAACAAGTAAGTTGTATATCTCTCTAGAATGATAATTTCACATAGCAAAATATCTCGTACAATTTAAATTGATAAATAAATAACATAAATTGGGGCGTCTGTGTTGTTAACGTCAAACAATTTGCCCCTCACTTCTTGTGGTTTACCTCCCGACATAGACTTTGGAGTCTTTCCTGTGAGCTAGCTGTCGAAACGTTGGTAATTCCGCGCACGTGCCTGTTCATGCCAAAAATAATGCACTAGTAAAGCTTGAAAGTCGCCATATGACCTTTTCTGTGTTGGTGCGCCGTGAAACCTAGCCAATAAAGTAGCAGCAACTTATTTCATGTATGACACAGAGATTCGTCTTTAAAAACTTTGAAAAATCAACCTTGTTGTAATTTTGAAAGTAATGATGATGTGTCGAAATTTATGAATGTAATTTTGACTATTAAGTATTGAGTTTTCAAGTAAATCTTGTGAAATGACATTGTCATTCAAGATATATTTGTTTATAATTATTTAATTATTTTATTTAATTATTTTGATTTTCTTTACTGACTATTGAACTGAACTAACAAAATAAACAGTAGATTTATCAACTGATCAAATCATTGATCTATAATTATTTTGAAAACTTCTGAATTCCTGTGTCAGGATATTTCTGGTCATATGTTTTCATATTCCACTTATAAATATTATTTATATTAAAACAATCATACTCTTAGTTCAGAGCTAAAACATTTGTGAGTTCTATTATATTACCTTTTAATATATTGATAGACAATCTGCTGAAATAGTTCATGTTTATATAATATAATTCTGTATTGTTGTCAAATAACAATATTGACACAGATAGCATCTTCAATCAAAGGTCTGCAAGCTCTGTGGTATTTTCTGATCTTTGCAATCTAAATCGTACTGTATATCTGTATGTGTTTTTCTGTATAAGTTTATTTGTATGTACTATAATTCATCTTGCATGGCACCAGAGTTTGATACATACGGAATTTTGCATAACTAGAGTTGTATCAAAAAATCATTTATGTTCATTTTTTATGATAGCCACACTTTATCCTTGCATATCGTGGCTATTTCCTTAACAAAGACACTAAAAAAAGAATTAAAAAAATGTTGACTCGACTGGGATTTGAACTCCAGACCTCTCACACACCAGACGAGCGCGTTATCCCTGCACCACGGAGAAGTTTTAAAAACAAAGGCTGAATAAAATCAAGTCATTCTAAATTTAGAATTTCCATTGCATTTCGGGTTAGGGTAATTTCGAGGTATTTTGTTCAGGGTAAACCTGTTGTTTAAAATTTAAGTAAATAATTTAGCAAAAATCTTCTCGCCCAAACAGTCCAACATGTAGAAACTATATGTTCAACTACTCGGCAGTCAGATTTATTTGTGTAGTATTCGGTAATCGACATCGCTAAAAATAGCATTTTCATTGATTAAAATCATATTTATCCGCGTAATTTGTGAGTGTGCATTTATTGACAAATCTATAAGCCAACGCTACTTTTAAAGTTTGAATGTGTAGTAATTTGTTGGACACTTGTAACAAAAATTTGTTCTTTTTTTAAATTGCTGGTTTTTAAGCAGTTTTGAGTGAGAACTAGTTTGCGTTGTTAGGTCTGTTAGGAAATTTTGTGTTAGACCGTGGATGTTCGCTATGTATTTTCCTAAAATCATGATTAGTGGACCAGCATATGAAACGATATTGTAGTGCAAATTTCCCAGAGTGTTTCAATATTAGCAGTCGAATAGACTGAATGGTGTATTAGGTATATTATTTATTTTGCGAGACGCTTTGTCTGATAGACTACAAAATATGCTATTGCAATGCACTTTTGCCTCGAGTATTACAATATGATCAAAATTGTATGAATCTGTGTGTACGTTCAGTCGAAACAATATTTAAAACTGTAGAGAGAAGATTAAAACTTAAATTTACACATGTTTAATTATCTAGGTTTATTTTGCCTACAAAAAAATTAGTTACATTTCACTTATGAAATAAATAACATAAGATTTCTTTACTATGATAGTTTGTTTATCGTAATGTTTCGTAATGGATTTTAGGAAATTGTTAATATTTTGATAGATTCTAATTTCTGATTCTTGTTTACAGCTTACAAGGCCCGTTTTATCTTATTAGCTTCGTTTATGGAATAGCACTTCTAGTAAAATCATTAAGGTTTAGTTTGAAGTTTTAACGAACCATTATAGTTTGTTCCTGTTACTCAATGATAAAATGTATCTCTCTTTTATCCTTTATTTCAATGCTCTACTACTACATTGCACTTTGTTCATAGGTCATCTGAGGATATCTCTTTTCAATCTATCTCAATACTTAATAAAACTTTTTGAACAAAGGGGAGTCATTAAATGTTAATACCGGTTACTAGGTTGGGTTTTATTCCTTTTTTATTATTTAAGAAGAAGACGATAACATGCATTGAGAATATTTAAGAAATACATCTTGATGTGCATTGACGATATTAAAAAAACAATAACATGTTTTGACGATATTGATGAGAAGAACATTCCTGTGCATCTTCAAATCATCGGACACATACATAAAGTATGCTAAACATACAAAACTTTATTGCATCAAACAGTTATTTGCAAACAATAAGTCACAAAAACACGAACAATTTATGATTTTCAAAATCGATGTCTTATGTATTTTACTGAATACGGCAAGATTTGTAAAACAGAACTATTATTCATTGAAAACATTGTTCGTTTGTTTAATATATACGCCGATATGAAACCAGTGTGGTGATATTTTCGGTGGTAGGTGGACCTTACCGGGTTTTACTTATAATTAACCAGTACTGACCAATTCCGAATCCAACATGATTTCTTAATAATTGATTTGAAACAAATGAACATTAGACTTAACGCCCAAGAGCTTTGCTCGGGGATCGGACAAGAGACCATTTGCAGTACTAACCGATACTCTCTCCTAAATCAGTTAAGCAACAGGGACTATGCAAACTATTTCATATATAAGTCCAGGGGAGGGGGGGGGGGTAGGGCTTTTTCTTGGGTGTTCTTTTTACCTTTACACTGTCTAATATGACGAATTATATCGTTGACATTAATCATAAAGTTTTTTTTTTAATTTAATGTAAGTAACAATAACATTCAACGAAGTGCTTTGATTTTTCGAAAAATAAATCATAAATGAAAGAGATATAAACATCAGCGTTAACAGTAGGCAGTGACAGGATAAAATATTGTAATCAGTATACTGAAAGTTATTTAAGAACATCATTGTATTAACCTTTAGCTCTTCAGCGCTTCTTATGTAAATTTTTTCCAAGTATAATTTCCAATAACCGTAAATTATACCATACCCAGACTATGGTATAATTTTCAGTTTTGAAGATCGAAGGAGTAAGTGTTTCTGGGCGGAGCTATAGGTTAAAACAGATACACCATTGGTGCGTTGGCGATTTCTGGGTTTGCGTAAATTATACCATAATCACGTGACCTTTCTTATGCAACCTCACTCGACTTCGTCTCGTAAGGGTAAGGCATAGGAAAGGTCACGTGATTATGGTATAATTTACGCAAACCCAGAAATCGTCAACGCAGCAATGGTATATCTATTACATAATTATCGATGTAACTGGCATTAACATCGCCCGGTTTGAAGTATGCTGCCTCAAAGGATAGAATGTTCAATTTATATTTTTAACTTTAATGTTATCTACTATCATCTTTGCGATGATCTAGTTTATCTATTATCTACTATCATCTTTGCAATGATCTAGTTTATCTTTTAGTTTATCTATTATCAAAAGACTTTCATACTAAACCTATATACACATAGTTAAAAGTATGATGCACTTTTTCATTATCCTTCATGTACAGACTCAGTCAAACCGAGTCTGAACTTTTTTTTGTATTTATTTTGTGATTTATGCTTCCGAGGGATCACCCTTTCTTCCGATTCTTTTTACCTGTTTAATATTGACCGAATCAGCACAATAAACCCCTGTCAAAGAGTTGTTTCTCAATTAATTAAATATTAATTCGTGTTAAGCTTATGTAACTGAGTCAAAAGTTATTTCTTTCCTATGATACATTTTTGTATGGTAATTTGATTTATGAAACAAAAATGTAAATGGAACTATCGATTATTTTCAAGCATGTGATGCAATTAATCAAGACTGAAATTACTTGATAAAACCAGATAAATATCGCAGTGTTTCTGATCTAATGTAGTAAACGGATTTAACAACTATTCCCAAAGAACATTAATAATAATTAATCAAAAGAACGGATCATATTAATCATGTTAAATTTTCATTTTTTATCGTAAAATAATTCGTTTAAGTTGATTAAAAGCATATTACGAGAGACTTAAATTAAAATAAATGAAGACTTATTAGATAGGAATCATTTTAATATTGTTTCTATACATTTATTACAGATAATTTACATAAGTCAGTTTCATACTTCCTTTGTAAAACCTCAAAGTGAAATGAGAAGCGGTTATACTCATTCAGTGATTGTATTGTTTTGGCTATTAATAGTCATATTCCTGTTTTACTGGACTAAAGAAACATAAACATTTTAATTTTTAATATACGTGTGATCTATGTCTTACTTATCAGAGAAAACAATATTTCAGTTATTCATAAATGAGTTATAGATGAATTGATTCCTTTGCGATATAATTTTCGGGCTTTTATATTGTGTTTTATAGCGATACTTGAAAACAATTTTAATAAAAAAAATAAAGAGGAGATACGTCGAGAGTATTTGAAAATTGAAGACTCTGCTGTAATAATTAATCATATTTAATTTTATGAAATGTTAAAGGTATCTGCCATGCCCACTAGTTACAGCTTAAGCGGCATTCAGGCTTTCAATCCTCAGAGCAAAGGATTGCCATCAACAATATCACAACATTGAGATAACGTTAAATATGTATATCCGTCTCTTTGAAAATTACATTTTCCTGTAACATTCTTTAAATGTTTATTTTTTCCAATGGTTGA